TAATAGCAGAGGTTGGATATCTAAGACACTCGGGGCAAGAAATGCTTCAGATTTTGGAGGGTTTTTTGACTTTGGAATATTTGCATAGACTTGAGCATCTTTAATTCTAAAATTAAAATCCAAGGCTGGGCATGGTAGCACACAACTTTAATCCCAGCACTAAGACGGCAAATTCTGTGAGCCCAAGGCCAGTCTGGTCTGCATAGGAAATCCAGGCCAGCCAAGGCTACACAGTGAGACCTTATCTCTAAAATAAAATTAAATTAAACATTTTTAAGTGAAAATAAAAAATCCAGGGCTGGGCAAACGGTTCTGTCTGTAAAGTGCTTGCCAGGCAAGCATGCTGACCTGAGCTCGCCTCCCCAACACCCACATAAAAAGCTGGGTGTTGGCCCTGCATCTCTGTTCAGCATGAAAGAAGCCAGAGAGGTTTGAGTCCCCATTTCCCATCAGCAATTTCAGAGGATGGTGTGATAAGAATAGGAGGTAGGAATTGGCTAGGCAGTTAGGGTAAAAAGACCCCAAAGAAAACTAGCCAGTTTCTTAGCTAAAAGTCAAAATGTCCTTGGGCAGCATACCTTGTTCCAAAGGCCAAAAATGTCAAAAGTATTTGGGAGCTCTTATCTAATCCCTAAAAGATTTTAGGTTTACCTCTTCGGAGGGGGGAATGTTAGAGTAGCAAAAAGCCCCATTTAAAAAAAAAAGGAAAGAGTACACGAAGTTGTCAGGAAAAAGTGTTGGAGAGATATGGGAGGCATTGAAGGGGAGGGAGTGGGTGTGGATTTGATCAAAACACCTTATATGCATGTATGAAATTCTCAATAACTTTTTTTAAGTTAAAAAAAAAGTTGGGCCGGGCATGGTGGCACGCGCCTTTAATCCCAGCACTCAGGAGGCAGAGACAGGTGGATCTCTGTGAGTTCAAGGCCAGCCTGATCTACATAGTGAGTTCCAGGACAGCTGGGGCTACAGGGAGACCCTGTCTCAAAAAAAGACCAAAAAAAAAAAAAAAAGTTGGGTGTTGGGCTGGAGAGATGACTCAACAATTAAGAGCACTGGCTTCTCTTGCAGAGGACTTGGGTTCGAATCCTAGCACCCACATGGTGGCTATTTTATTTATTATTTTTATTTTATGTGTATGAGTGTATTGCCTGCACGTATGTGAATGCACCCATGTCGTGCAATGCCACGGAGATCAGAAGAGGGCTTCGGATTACCCTGGAACTGGAGTTAAGGACAGTTCATAGCCACCATGTATGTGCTGGGAATTGAACCCGGGGTCCTCTGCAAGAGCAGACAGTGCTCTTAACTGATGAGCCATCTCTCCAGCCCGATATATTTTTTTAAGTCTAGTGTGATAGTACAAGCCTGTATCCCCAGGGCTGGGGAGGTGGAGACAGGAGGATTCCCGGGGTTTGCTGACTGGCCAACCTAGTCCAATCAAGGAACTGCAGGTTCAGTGAGAGGCTTTGTCTCAAAAAACAAAAAAATAGAAAGCAATTGAGGAAGACACAAACATCTACCTCTGGCCTACACACATGCACACACGCATGCACTCACGCACATATACACGCATACATGAAGTCAGAAATCTGAAATGCTCTGAAATCCCATTGTGTTTCCTATGTTTGGCAGCCTGCTCCAGACTCTACATGACTAATCACACACACACACACACACACACACATACACACACACACACCTTTTTTTTCTTTTTTGTTTAGTTTAGTCTTTTGAGACTTGGTCTCACAGTGTAGCCCAAGCTGGCCCTGAACACTCAGCAATCCTCCTGCCTCAGCACTCCTCGTGCTGGGATTGCAGCCTTGGGTTACCATTCATTTTCTTTTTTCAATCTCTGCTCCTCTCCATGGAGCTTAGCCTCACCCCCTGTGACTCCCTGTACAGCCTGTAACCTGTATCCTCCTCATCCTCCAATCCCCTAATTCCTCTTTTTATTCTCCCTATACCTATTACTTTCTAACACATGGTCCTTGTTTTACCTTATGGGTTTATGTGTGTTGTACATGTATGTGTTTGTATGTGTGGACGTGTGCAGTATAAGTGGAGGCCAGAGGTTAATATCTAGTGTCTCCCTCTATCGCTCTCCATTTTATTTTTTTACATTTGTGTGTGTATGCACATGAATGTATGTATGTGCCACAGTACACACAACTTTCTGAAGTCCGTTCTCTCCTTCCACCATGTAGCCCTGGGGATTGAACTGAGATCAGCAGGCTTAGCAACAGGCACCTTTACCTGCTGCACCATCTCACCAACCCCCACTTATTTTTTGAGAAATATCAAACCTGGACTTGCAGATTGACCTCATCTGGCTGGCCAGCAAGCACCAGGATCCTCCAGTTTCCACCTCCAGCACTAGGATTACAAACAAGATATAACATTTGGCTTTTTATATGGGTTTTGGGGATCAGAACTCAAGCCCTCATGCTTGTATGGCAAGCACTTTACCAACTGAATCATCTCCCTGGTGTCTTTAATGAGTTTTTTTTTTAATGTGCATGATTATGTTGCCAGAATGTATGTAAGTGCACTCATGTTGTGCAATGCCCACAGAGGCCAGAAGAAGGTGTTGGATCCCGTGGAACTGGAGTTACGAACGGCTGTTAGCCGAAACGTGGATTCTGAGAACAAAACCCCGGTCTTCTGAAAGAGCAGCCAGTACTCTTAACTGCTGAGCCACTTCTCCAGCCCCCTCTAACTAGTTTTTAACCCCCGACTCCATCAGTCCACCCATCAAACGCATGTGCAATAATTTGTGGCCATCATGTCTGCAGTTTCCATTAGATTCTCAGAATAGTTCATGTCCTTAAAAACTTGAAAGTCACAAGCCAATTAATGTCTGATGTAGGGAAGGCACTTGATATTTGTTGACCAAATTAAAGAACATTAAAAACATTCACAGATATTTTAGAAAATATTTTATTTTTAGTTAATGTGTATGGGTGTATTGCTTGCGTGTAGGTAGGTATCCCCATGTCGTACAATGCCCACGGAGGTCAGAAGAAGGCATCAGATCCCCTGAAACTGGAGTTACATATGGCCACTAGCGGCCATGTGGGTACTGGGAATCAAACCTCGGTCCTCTGCAAGAGTAGTCAGTGCTCTTAACTACTGAGCCATCTCTCCAGCCCTCACACACATTTTTAAAGGAAACTGTCTTGTGATGTAATGACTACCAAACACTGATTCCTTAAGCCAACTATGTCAGAAGGATTTTTAAATGTAGATTCTCATGATTCAAAAATACTCTCAGGGGGCTGGAGAGATGGCTCAGCAGTTAAGAGCACTGGCAGCTCTTGCAGAGGACCTGGGCTCAAATCCCAGCACCCACATGGTGGCTAACAACCATTTGTGACTCCAGTTCCAGGGATATCTGACACCCTCTCCTGACCTCCACTGGCATTGCACAACATAGGTGCACTTACATACAGGCAGACAATACACTCATATACATAAAATTTAAAAATAATAACAAAAATATCTTCAGTCCTAGCACTAGGGAGGCAGAGGCACAAGAATAGAAAGTTTGAGGCCAGCCTGGACTATACAGCAAGGCCCTGACAAAAATAAATAAACTCTCAGAGTCTGAGTCAGAAGGTTAGGATCCCCCAATGACACACCTCCAGATGAGATTGAGGTCCAACCAGGTTTAAGAATTTAGCTTTAATTGAAGCTTTAATTGAAGGGAGGGATGGAGGGAGGGAGGGAGGGAGGGAGATGGGGGGGCGCTTTTACCACACAGGGGGCCATTACTGATCTTCCCACAAGTTCTTAGGCACACAAGCAGGGATCACAAACTATTTCACAGCAGAAAGCTGAGGCCCTTGAGAATCAAGTGCTATCCCCCAACCCCACCCAACAGCCAAGGGTCACAGGCCTGCAGGTGGTAGAGCTATGATTAGAACTTGGGCCTCTGAACTCCCGCGCTAAGCTTGTCCCCTCTACACAGTCTAGATAAACTCAAGTTCCAGGAAGTCCAGGGGCTGCTGCTGGGGGAGGGGAGTCAGAAGACAGAGAAAGACAGACACGTGGAGGTCAAGGTTCAAGAAAGCTGTCTTCTGGCCAGCCTGTTGCTCAAAGAGCTTGGGGAGCATAGGGCTAACTTCTTGAATGTGACCCCTGGACAGTCACTGTCTCTTTGGGTGCCTTAGTCACCTCATCTGTAAAAAAGGACACTAGGCTATGCCCTGTCCCAACAAGGTGCTTGCAGAAAGTAAGATACTTAAAAAACCCGTTAGAATTATTGTTATCCAGAGATGTGAAATTCCCCCACTGGAAGATTCTTAGCGTCAGCACTACATCCAGCCTTCATTCATTTAAGGAACATTTGTGTATCTGTATGCCAGGCAAAGGTGGAGGGCTCTGTACACAAACATCCCCTTACCATAAGCCAGTGTGGTCCCTGCTGCTGTTGTCAGCGTCTTTCAGAGTAAGAAGCCACAATTTGGTGAATGAGTGGCAATTCATGTCATCATTCCCTCATTCATCCCACTTTTACTGAAAGCCAGGTCTGGCCCAGGCTGTGGGCCAAGTGCTGAGGAGAAGAGGATGAACAAGTCCTTCAGCAGACATGCCCATAAATTACTTTAATAACAACTCAGGACATGCTTCAACAGACAGGGAGCAGTGGGAGCCAGAAAAGGAGCAACTGGCTCCCTGGGGATTGTGGGGACAGAGAGCTGACGTCTCCAAAGGATCTTGCCTCACTGCAGTACTTCCTTCCTGTGTGGATATAGCCATCGCAAGACCTGTGTTCAAAGGCTTTGCTGTGTATCTCCAGGAAACCTCCAAGCCTCAGTCTCCATCTGGACAAAGAATAAGTTATGTGAACCCCAAGATCCTGCGGCTTCAGTAACTAACCCTCCCACTTCACAAATCCAAGCTCCCACCCAGTCTAGCCCATAAAGCCTGACAGAGTCAAACATCCCCCCCCCCCAGCTCCCCGCCAAAGCACACATTAAGTGGGACCAGACCTGAGACAGGGGGCGGGGCTGGGATCTCCAAGGAGGTGCGTGCGGCCCGCCCAGAAGCTATTCCTCTAGCCAATGACAGTCCGGGGGCGGGGTATTCCCCGCCTCTTAAAATAAGAAGACGCACATCCTGGGACCTGGCCCGGGCAGGTGTTCAGTTCTCTTGCCTCCTTGAGCTGTGTCCACCGGGTGCGCAGGAAAGCAGAGCTCCGTACTTCCCGGGAGTGGCCGGGGAACCGGTCCAGTTCAGTCTTCTTTGCCTGGCTGAGTTGCCGGGACGGATCGGTGCCCGGGTCTTCCGCCTCCGAGGAGCCGCTGGCCGGGACCCGGGGGACGACCGCGCTGACCCTCCGCCCGCTGCCATGGGCGACCACCTGATGCTCGCCGAGGGCTACCGCCTGGTGCAGAGGCCACCGCCCACCGCCCCCGCCCACGGCCCGCACGCATTCCGGACTCTTCAGTCTTACTCGGGCCAGGGTCTGGACCACGGGCTGCGGCCCCGGGGGGCTCCGCTAGGACCGCCGCAGTCACCCGGGACCCTGGCCTACAGCTCCTTCGGGCCGCCCGGCTCCTTCCAGCCCTTCCCGGCAGCGCAGCCTCAGTCCGCCGGCAGCGCGCATCTGCATCCCGGGGCGCCGCTGTACCCGGGCGGCGTCTCCGTACCGCCGGGCTCCGCCGGAGGTGCCCCGGGTCTGCAGCCCGCGCCCGGTGCTGCGACCCCATCATCGCCACCGCCCGCTCTGGGCTGCATGGACGCCGAACTCATCGACGAGGAGGCGCTGACGTCGCTGGAGCTGGAGCTCGGGCTGCACCGAGTGCGCGAGCTGCCGGAGCTCTTCCTGGGCCAGAGCGAGTTCGACTGCTTCTCGGACTTGGGCTTGGCGCCGCCCGCCGGCTCGGTGAGCTGCTGAACCCCGCTGTCCGAGGGACGCTGAGGCCCGCGGCCGGGCCCCCACTCACCCTCCGTGAGGGTGGAGGCGGCGGGTTTGCGCGCGAACCCGGCTCGGGGTGGGGACGCCTGGCGGACCTCCAGGCCCTGCCTCCCGCCGGGTGACAGCTTGGCCTTGCTTCTCATCCCCCCGCCCCCCAAAGCTTCAGCGGTCAAGTAGAGGGGACTCAACCAACCTCTGGACTCCACGTTCTTGAATTGCGTGCCCTGTCTCTTTCCTCACCCTTCCCCACGCCCCAATCTGAGCCATTGCAGGCCTGTTCCTGACCTCCGTGCCGCCCACTACCGGGATCAGGTCCCGGAGCCACTTTCCTGAACCCCCACCCTTGTGGGCCGGAGGGGCGCGGGGAGATTTTACAGCTAATGCCTGTGGAGTGGAACAATACACCAGCTGGCCTCCAAAATCAAAATAAAACTGGGTCGCTTTAGCCTTGAGTTTTCATTTCCTTTGTCATCCCAACTTCAAAGTATAAGTAACTTGCAAAAGACAGGTTGTTGGAGACCCTGAAGGAATAGGGGGCCACGGCCCTTTTAACAGTTTCTTTCGAAATTTGACAGTTTATTTCGAAAATGTCTAGAGAGTTGTGCAATTGTGGTCATAAGCTGGAAGGCAGAGGCTGCTGGTGATAGCTTAACCCATCCGACTAACCGCTGCTGGGGTGCTGGGAGCTAGGTGGTATCTAATGATTCAGGAAGCCCTGCCTTAGGACAGAGTCTCTCCCTTGCCCACAACACTAACCCTTCCGGTTTCTGAGGTGGTTTCCTCAGCTGGAGTGGCCCTGGTCTCAGTTGATTGGGGGGGGGGGGGCTACTGGGGATTGAACCCAGGGTCTTATTCATGCTTCACCTCTATCCCAGTTGTTATCTCTTTAGCACAGTGAGAGACTCTTAGGCAGCTCTCAGTAAACAGAGATGGTCATTCTGCAAGCTGATGCTCAGGGAATCATAGTCCAGGTAGGAGTAGGTGGGGAACAGACCTGGAAATGACTAATCTTGGTACATGGAAGAGAGGGGTCCAGGAAAATGGTGGAACAGGCACGCCCAGAGGAGGAAGTTTCAGTTGGTTGGGGTGAGGGTCAGTTGAGGCTTCAGGGAGGCAGTGACATTTGATGTGAACAGTGAGGAGTGTTGTTTTTAGGAACTGGAGAAGAACTCCATTAAAGGCAGGGATTCATCCAGTGTACAGAATCTATGGAGGCATGGAGTGTCTAGAAAGGACAGGAAAGGTCTGACAGTTTTGTGACAACTTTATGTGGCCATCTCAGTCTTCATTCCACAGGTGAGGGATGTCAAAGAGTTCCAGGCCTGCAGAATTTGGTCTCCATGTCCTGCTCTCCAGTGTACCCTCTGCTGCTGACTTTGGAAAGAGCCCCTGCTATGTGGGAGAAAGACTGGAAGAGACTGAAGGCTGAGAGGAGACGCTTCCCACTGTGCTAGGACCAGGCATTAGGGCATGCTCTAGGAGACAGTGGATTATAGAGACTAGAGAGTAATGCTGGCTGAGGCCTTCTGTGCCCAGTAGTTGGGTTCTGCTCTAATGCCAAGTGCTTGTGGGTATGACTCCAGCAGTCATGAGACCCCAAGGCATACTGTGTGGGCACCAGCTCTGAGGCAAGCAACGTGCAAAGAGTGGGTGACAGGAAGTGTTTGACTAATGAATAAAGGTCTACTCTAAGATCCCAGGGTATTCTGGAATAGGAGAGAGAGAGAGACAAAGGAAGAGAGTTCTGGCCAGGGCCTGGCCTGACCCCTTAACTCAGAGAGGTCAGTGTGTGCTCCAGTTTTGCCAAGGACCCTGGGCCAGAGACAGAAACTAAGGAGTTCAAGTGGGACAGGAAGGTTTGATCCTGGACTGAACATTACTTTGATTCTCTTTTGTCTGGGCCTCAGTTTCTCCACCAGTAAAACGAAGCTAATATCCCTACCCTGCTACTTTACAAGGCAATTATCCTTACTGTAAGTGAGGAACCAGTTCGAGGATGAGTTGATAAACAGTTGGCAAACTTTCAAGGCTCCCCATATAGGAGGGAATCTAATGAAGCAACACCAAGCCATGTGGTGGCTCACATCTACAATTCAACACTGGGGAGACTGAGTTTGAGGTCAGCCTGGACTATATAGTGAATTCTAGACTAGCCTAGACTACAAAGCAAGATCCCTGTCTCCAAATGGAAAAAAAAAAAAGGTACTGGATATATAGTTCAGTGTAGAGCACTTGTCTAGCATACACAAGGTCTTGAGTTCAATCCCTACTACCAAAACAAAACAAAACAAAACAAAACAAAACAAAAAAGCCTACCATTCCTCCAAGAGGGGGACCCTAGACAAGCTGGTCAGCAGGCAGGTGGACAGACAAAGATAAGACTAAGACATCTCACCAGCTGATTTCCAAAGCTGGAGGGGAAAGAACAATGGGCTTGTAGTCTCATAGCATTAAGTCCAGTTCTAGAAGAGTCTAAGGAGCAGTCTTAGTCTTTCTATAAGCACCCACTTCCCATGGTCTCTTCCTGAGACCCCACCTCCCAAGCAACCTGTTGTCCCTCAGTCCTGTGGGTCTCACTCTCCTGCCTGGGCCTTTGCTCAGGTCTTCGGATTCAGAAATCAGGCTCCCTAAATGCTGGGAAGCCAGTCACAGACAAAGTAGGCTTTGTTAGGTTTTTTTTTGTTGGTTTTGTTGTTGTTGTTGTTGTTGTTGTTGTTGTTTTGGTTTGGTTTTGTCCCCCAATCATCTGAAAGTTTCCCCATGCCAACATTATTTTTATTTATTTATTATCATCAATACCTTGTATTTTTATATTAATAGAACTCTGTAAATTCAAGGTACTAAAAGTACCACCACCATAGTGTTGCTGTGGAGATTGAATTAATGCAAGCTAACTGGATGGCACACCCCTGTAATCCCAGCACTCAGAAGGTGGAGGCAGATAGATCAAGGAGTTCAAGGTCATCTTCAGCTACATACTGAGTTTGAGACCAGCCTGGGCTACATGAGACCCTGTCTCAAAAAAGCCAAATAAATAGCCAAATAAAGGCAAACACCTTTAATCCCAGCACTCAGGAGGCAGATGCAAGTGGATCTCTGTGAGACAGAGGCCAGCCTGGTATACATAGTGAGTTCTAAGCCAGCTACAGGAGACCCTGTTTCAAAAACACAAATAAATAAATAAATAAATAAATAAATAAATAAAGCAGTTAATGCAGGTAACGTATTTAGAACAGAGGGCTTGTAGTTAATGTTCTCCTTGAACCTTGACTTTGGAAGACATCTTAGTCCTCTGGTCTTTAAGAAGGCTGTGTTTTAACCAGCTAGCAAGGTGTCAGTCCAATAGTGAGATTGTTGCAGGTTGAGTGCCTCAGAAAGCAGACTCTGAGGTAGGGTTCCCCTTACAAGAGATTTACTAGGGAGTTTTTTGGGTATTTGCATTATACAAGGGAAGGAAGGAAGCCCAGGGGAGCAGAAGCCACACAGCAGGTCCAGCAAGAGCCTGGGCCAGCCCCATGCAACATTCTAGAGCTAGAAGGGCCCTTCAGAGTCACCCAAGTTAGACCAGTACATATCCTTATGCTTCTATCCTCATCAAGGAGTGCAGTGCATGTGGGCTGCTTAGGGAAGTGGCATGGCCCTGGGTGGGGCAGCCCTCCTCAGCTGAACCTTTTCCCCAAAGGACCTTCTGGAAAGGCTGCCTGCCAACAGCTAGGGGACAGGTCTATGGAAGGGAACTTTGGGTGGCACATCAGTGTCTCCCACAAACAGCAGGGTGGGGACCAATATGTCATCAGAATCATAACAAGCATCTCCTCAAATTTATGCTCTTGGTCCCAGAGTAGCACTTTCCTTATTAGAGAACAACAAAAGCAATTTAAGGTCACTCAACCCTATAGGGCTGATGGGTACATGGTAGATCTCACAACCTTATAGGGCTGATGAGCACATGGTAGATCTCACTAAAGCACTGCCATCGTCGCTGTCACCCTTCCAACTCAGCTAAATGCTCAGCAGTCATTTGCTGAATAAATTAATGAGCAGTCTGATCGCAGCCTTTTCCCAGGCAGCTTAAGCAGTTTAGCTGATCACTGAGTGATCCTCGTGAGTTCCTTAATCCACCCTTGCCTAACTCTTCACACTACTCTGTTAATAGAAATGCTGGGTCAGGATTAGTGCCAAATGAATGACCCAGTCAGCACCTATTGAGTGCCGACTGTGTGTAGGAATGATAGGAACTAATAAGGACAGCCCAGTAGGTTCTCTTTCTCTTCCAGCCTCTGTTTCAGCCTCCACCCACCCCATAGGAAGTTCCAGAGGTCAAGAAACTGGGGCACAGTGAATTAGTCCAAGGCACACCCTAGCTCTGCAGGGCCTGTCCCTTCCCCAAGCTGAGTCTGGCAAAGGAACTGAATCTGAGTGGAACGAGAGCAGAGACCCAGCCTGGGCCTGCCCTCCGTGCCTGTGAGATGTAGAAGTGGCTAAGCTTTCAGGCCTGTTTCTTTTTCCTTACAAGGCAAGAATAACACCAGTATCACAAGTGTGTGTTACACAGACTCAAAAGAGCAGGGTCCTGAGAACACACTGGAAGTGGTGCAGTGCTGCTTGTGCAGGGTGGGTTTGAGGATGGATAGCCACAGCCTCTATCCTGCAGCTTCTCTGGGCCAATGGAACCTGCACACTTTGGGACTTATGGTCCGGCCAGCCTGGAGTATAGACGGTAGAGGGCTCCAGGCAGGCCTTGCTAAGTAGTTCGGGTCTGGAAAGCTGAGAGTTTGTGATGATGATAAAAGGGTAAAAAAATAAAATAAAAAGGGTGAGATGGAGTGCACCTGGGTGTGTGGTGCATGCCTATAATACCAGTGCTTCCGAGTGGAAGCAGTTCAAGGCCAGCCTGGACTATATAGTGTGTTCTGGGTTTCATGAGACTCTGTCTCAAGCAAACAAAAGGTGAGATGGGGTCAATTTGAGAATGACAGGAGGGTGGGGAGACTGGGCCTAGGCCCAAAGTGTGCCCTGACAGATGGAAAAAGCACAGGAAGCTACTCTGAGTTCATTCTCATCTGTCAAACAGGTACCTAAGGTTTCCTGTGAAGATATACTGAGGGGATGCTAAGCAACTGCCTCTGTGCGCTGCTCCCAGCTGGGAAACAGGACAACAAGCCTGGGATAGAGCCTCTTTATCAGTTCTCCTCCAGTCACCTTCTTATGCTTGACTCCAGCCAGCCCCAGGGGGCCTAATACAGGAGGTTTTTTGTGCCTCATGACCTCTGTACCTAAGCCTGAAACACCCTTCCCCAGGGTCTTTTGACCCATGGAAAGCCTATTCTATTGTGTGTCAGAGTTGGTGAGGGGGTCTTTCTTCATCGGACTGCCATGTTCTAAAGACAGAACTTGACTCATTATCAGCCCCACCTCCACCCCAAGAGCCAGTCAGAGTAGGCA